GAAGGGAAGATGCTCAGTGGGAAGGGAAGATGCTCAGTGGGAAGGGATGACCCCCAAAGGCTAGGTTGGACTGTGTGCCCCCAAATTTATATGTTGAAGTCCTAGCCCCCAGTACCTCAGAATGTGACTGTATTTGGAGATAGGGCCTTTAAAGAACCAATTAAAGTGAAATGAGGTCATATAGGTGGACCCTAATCCAGTCAAATGGGTGTCCTGATAAGAAGAGGGAATTGAGACACCAGAAGTGCACGCACAGAGGAAGTGCCTTGTGAAGACAGAGGGAGAAGATGGCCGTCTACAAACCAAGGAGAGAGGCCTCAGAACGAAATCAACTCTGCTGACCCCTTGATCTTGGACTTCTAGTCTCCAGAACTGTGAGAAAATAAATTTCTACTGTTTAAGCCTCCGTCTGTGGTATTTTGTTATGGCAGCCCTAGCTGACTAATACACTGGGCTATACTCTAGGGGTCTTTCTGCCAATAGCAATCACTAACGGCGACACCTGCAGCAGCAGCAGGGACCAGCCCCAGGCTGGATGCAGAACCCGGCTTCTCAAGGGCCCTAACGGAGAAGCAGTGTGGGGATCCCAGCAGGGAGGTGCGTTTCTTTGCTATTCAACTTTTTATCTTCAAAATCCCAGCACATTTTTGTCTATCTTGTTCGCTGCTAGCTTGTGCACCTAGAAAAGTGCTCAGCAAATGGTGGCACTTTTCGATTTGTTGAGTGACTGAATGAAATTTAACGTTAGAAAACAATTCCCATTACCCTGCTCAAATCTCTGAGTAAAGATGATGCCCTGGGGCTTCCCTGGTGGTGCAGTGGTTGGGAATCCGCCTGCCAGTGCAGGAGACAGGGGTTCGAACCCCGATCCGGGAAGATCCCACATGTCGTGGAGCAGCTAAGCCCGTGCACCACAACTACTGAGGCTGCTCTCTAGAGCCCGAGAGCCACAACGACTGAGCCAGCGTGCCACAACTACTGAAGCCTGTGCACCTAGAGCTCATGCTCTGCAACAAGAGAAGCCACCGCAATGAGAAGCCAGCGCACCGCAAGGAAGAGTGGCCCCTGTTCGCCGGAACTAGAGAAAGCCTCTGTGCAGCAATGAAGACTCAACGCAGCCAAAACAAAATAAATTAAATAAATTAATTAAAAAAAAAAGATGATGCTCATAACTGGTGAGTTATCCTGTGGCTTGATAACTCCTGATTCACTTCATTTACCCACTCATCTTGTGTTCATTAACGCCATGGGTATCAAGCGCTGTGTGCTCAAGGGGACCCACACCCTCAACGGGAGAAGAAGAGTGTTGGTGGAAGAGTCCAGAACTGAGTGTCAGGACATCTATCTGGTTCAGCCAATTATTAGCTATGTCATGTGGGGAGTCCCTCTACTCTCTGCTCTTAGTTTCTTCAACAGTAAAATGGAAATAAGAACTTTAGGCTTAAGTGCTTCTTGGGGCTGTGTGAAAAGCAAACGAGATAGTTGATGTGACCTAGCTCTGAAAAACTGTAAAGTGCTGTGCACATGGACCTGCACTATAGCAGATCTTCAGCCCTTCTTGTTCACTGTTGCATTCCTAGTGCTTGGACCATGGCAAGCCCTCAAGTATTTGTTGAATTGAACACACCTTAGGGTCATCTTGCTCTATGCTATAAGTAGTGCAAAGATGATATGCTTTTGGAGTTCTGTAATATAAGGTCCTTAAAATCCCAAGTCCCTCTAGCCCTGGAGACTAGCAGCAGGCTTTACTTTGTAGCTTCTGGGTCCCACACCACCACATCAGCATCGGCTCCAGGGATGATGCGGCCCTTGCGGGGATACAGGTTGAGAATCTTCGCTGCGTTGGAACTGGTAACAGCCACAAAACGGTTCTCATCCATTTTTCCTCCAACCTGAAACATTGCAAAAGTGTTAGGTCAACCGACGCCCTGTGTGTGTGCCTCAAACCCTGGGTCACGCTTGACCCTGGCCTGAGGGCTTTTAGTTGGTCAGAACAATGGTGCTGAGAAGGACAACGCCATGGGCATCATCTCAGATGAGCCAACCTGCTAGGCTTGGTTCCATGCTACTCCTCTCTCCTTCTTGCAGCAATGGGGGCGGGTGGGCCCTTGTTCCAAAAGGTTGCTTTCCTGGTGCAAATCTACCTCCTGTTTGTAAAAGCAGGTCTACTCGGTACTCACTCTGGATAAATCAGGAGCTTCCCTGCATCCACGAAGGGACATATATTCTCTCCTGGAAAGGCTTCTTATCGTCCCACCCATGAAGGCACCATGGACCCTTTTCAAAGGGGATTCCGGAGCTGCCTCATGGGTCTTCCCCGAGCTGGTTGTTTAAGCTTGAGGATTTCAAATCTCTTTGGCCTCATACTCTATGCTGCATCTAATCTGTGATAGGTCAAGATCAAAACTACTTATTCTTCATGGGCAGAACAGGAGGTATTCAAATGAAGTCCCAGCCTCTATCTTTATTATTGGACAAAAGATATCAAGATCTTTAAAAAGGTTCATATCCCTTGGCCCAGAAATCCGCTTCTAGGAATCTGTCCTCAGGAAATAATTAGAAATGCTGATGTACACTCATGAACAAAGAGATTCTCTGCAGCATTATTTCTAAGAGCAAAAATTTGAAACAGCTGAAAGTTCCAAACATCGTGGAAGGATTAATTGAAACATGGCACTGCCATTGGAGGGAATATTATTTAGCCATTAAAAATATGTTTTTAAAGAATTTTTACTGATATAGGAAGACACTCAAAATACACTGTTATATGAAAAGAAGATGAACCCAGTAATTAAAATAATGTATAGTACATGCATAGAGCTGGAAAGAAATATACCAAAATATTAATAATTTCCCAGTATGCAATTATGGGGTTTTTTTCCTAATACTTTTCCGTATTTTCCAAATTTTTATGCTAGGCATTATTATCTTTCCGATCAGGAAAAAAAACAGACCTTTTCTGTTTTCCATTTGAGTGAAACAGGAGCTGTGGTTGACCCAGCCCTCCTAAGGGTGAAAATTCTTCCGAGGCCCAGAGTGGGGAGGGGTCGTGGGAACATACCACTCCTCTCTCCCAGATGACGCTCATGCGGTCCTGTACGCCGCTCACGCCGTGTGGGATCTTGGTGAAGTCCTCCTTGCCCATAGCTTTCTGCTTCGTGGTGAAAGGTCGGTGATCTGACGCCACAATGTTCAGAGTATCACTGGGTAGAGAGAAGGACATGACCAGTAAGGGGAGGGGAGGCCAGGGTCCCAGAGGGTGGGGGCAGGGACAGAGATAAACCCTTCACTTGGAAACCCGGCAAAGCTGGTTTCAATCTCGGCTCTGCCACTTCATAGCTGTATGACCTCTAGCGAGTTATCTGTGAGAACCTCAGTTTACACATTTGCAGAATGAGCGTGTGTGCCAACTGTGGCACAGAATGCCAGCGTCATGGGAGACACTGAGAGTCTTTGGATGTTTAGAGAACTAACGGGTGGAGAAAAATTGAACTTAAGAGTTTAACTAAGGGCTTCCCTGGTGGCACAGTGGTTAAGAATCTGCCTGCCAATGCAGGGGACATGGGTTCAAGCCATGGTCTGGGAAGATCCCACATGCCGTGGGGCAACTAAGCCCGTGCACCACAACTACTGAGCCCGCGTGCCACAGCTACTGAGCCTGTGTGCCACAGTTACTGAAAACCGCGCGCCTAGAGCCCGTGCTCCACAAGAGTAGCCACCACAATGAAGCCCGCACACCGCAACGAAGAGTAGCCCCCGCTCGCTGCAACTAGAGAAAGCCTGCGCACAGCAATGAAGACCCAATGCAGCCAAAAATAAATAAATAAATTTAAAAAAATGAGTTTAACTAAAGTGAGAGGGTGGAGGTAGTTTTTCTTCCATAGAACCGTACGCCGACTCCCTCTCATCTCCCTCCTCAACCTGCACCAGGCCCTGCTGGCAATACGCATGTGCTGGTAAAACACTCGAGTTCCATGTTAAGCTTTGCTTGGAGGTGAGGGCTCTCCTGGCCCTGCAGGGAAGAGGAAGGACAAGACGGAAGAGAAGTCTGCCTTGATCAACCAGCAACAACATGCCAGCGGTTCATCGCCGCTGCCATCTGTGAACATGGTCCTCAGACGGTTGATGAGGCTACGGTGGGTAAGGCACGGCCAGGCTCTCGAGGGGTTCTGGGCCAGCTCAGAACTCGGGGCAGAGACTTACATCAGTGAGAGCGCACATAGCATGCCACTCTGTGGCATGGGCTGGTAGCTCCCTGCGCCAAAGGCGCTGTTCTGGGCCCTCTCAGAGGCTGCGGGAGGGGCTCTTCCACAGAGCAGAGGGTTTATTCTAGGGTCTCCTGGGGATCCCCACATCCCCCAGACCTGCAGAACCCACCAGAGATAAACAGAATCTTTAGGTTTTCACTTTCTCCTCAGGGATCCTCCAGACACCCGGGTAGGGCTCAGATCAGAAGATGCCCATCAGAGTCCTGGGTTGAGGGTCTGGGACCCCAGGACCCCATGCTTTAACTGACAAGTCTTACTGAGCACCCACTTTTCTAAAAAGTCCCCTACACAAATAAGTGCTTACTAGGCAAGAGTGAATGGGGGGGCACATTCCAGAAGGGCTTTTGGGGTCCCCTGATGCTGCCCTGAATCTGAGAGGTATGACAGACCCATCCTTACTCTTTAAAGTTTAAAACACCACTGCCTTTTGTTAAGTACTTTAAAAATATATATGTTCAAATGAAAAAATTTCTGATCCCTTTGAGAAGTCAGATTTTAAATAAAGGACAAATCCTTATATCTATAGATTGTACTCATTACCCTGGTATATTCGAAGAAACCACATCCTAAAGTAGATCATTATGAAACAGCTCATATTTTCTTATAGAAATATGATAATTGGTGTCTGGGTTTTCTATCAAGTATTTTGCATAATACCAATTATCACCAACAATGTCACAGAAGCAAAATTATAGTAATCATAGATTCCTAAAAATGTAAAAACTATGCTCCAAATTCTATAAAACTGCACACGTTTACAATATGCACTGATTAAAAAAGGGATCTGGGAACTTCCCTGGTGGCACAGTGGTTAAGACTCTGAGCTTCCAATGCAGGGGGCCTGGGTTCGATCCCTGATCTGGGAACTAGATCCCACATGCCGCAACTAAGAGTTCGTGTGCTATAACTAAGGAGCCAGCGAGTCGCAACTAAGGAGCCCATGAGCTGCAACGAAGGAGCCCGCCTGCTGCAACCAAATAAATAAATAAATATTAAAAAATGGGATTCAAACTATTCTCATAATAGTTCACATGAAATCATAATTCTATTTAAATGAATAGAAGTTAGTTAAATAATTTAAATAGGGCTTCCCTGGTGGCGCAGTGGTTGAGAGTCCGCCTGCCGATGCAGGGGACACGGGCTCGTGCCCGGTCCGGGAAGATCCCACATGCCGCGGAGCGGCTGGGCCCGTGAGCCATGGCCGCTGAGCCTGCGCGTCTGGAGCCTGTGCTCCGCAACGGGAGAGGCCACAACAGTGAGAGGTCTGCGTACCGCAAAAAAAATAAAAATAAAAATAAAAATAATAATAATTTAAATAAATTTGACAAAATAGACTAGATATAAAAACTTGAATTATTCGATTAATAATACTTTTCTTCCCCTGCCTATTTAAATTTGTGTGGCTTTGGGCACTGTAATTTGGGTGGGTTGGGAGTTTTACTACCCTTTTGTTCTTTCAGTAAATTTGCTTGTGGCAAGCAGAGGTATTTCAAAAGATTCTTTGATCTTGGAACTGAGCCCAAATTCTTATAGTGGGTTCTTGATACTTGTTTGTTTTTGCTGTATTGATGATGATGAAAAGGAGGCCGGTTTTTCCCAACAACAAGCATTTTTAAAAGAAAGAGCTGATCTAGCATTTCTCCCTTTACTCTCTCAAATTGGTTAAGTCTGTCAGAGCTGCCACTGCTCAGAATCACAGCAAAACTACGGGACAGACTTTAATTACTGCCACTGTGCCACAGCATATCCTGCCCCTCCAGGGGCCACCTTCACCCCGGGACCCTACTTCCTGCACTCCAGTTGTATTTGGAAAGCCCCACACTGCTCTTTCGGTTGTTAACGTAGCAGGATGTGGAGTGGAAATTTTCCAGTTGTTAGCCAACCAGGACTGAAAACTAAGGACATGGTTGAAATAAAAGCCCCATTATCTAACGACAGCCACCTCCAACTGGGGCTGGTCACTTACCTCAACACCCCCCTCACCATCACCCTAACAGGGGTGTATCACCACCCCTAGGTCTTATACAAGCAGAAGACAGGGAGGGCGACTGAGGTGTTGGCAGAATGGTGAGTCCTGCACTCTCCCTTCTTCCTCTTTTCATGGGTTGAATGGTGCTTTCCTGTCCCCCAACTAGTCTCAAGAGGGGACATTTCAAGAGGTTCACCTGTGGAGAACAGAGGTGACAGCAGCGGGCACCTGCCTGAGCCTCTGGGTGAGGAGAGCCAGGGGTGGGGCCAGCCTGCCCTCCCACTGTAGGGAGTGGCAAAGCGGTGTGAGCTTGCTCTGGGCCCCAGATACTGTAGAAGGTGGCCAGGCTTAAGCTGCTTGGCCAGATTCTTGTGCACAGGGAATTGCTAGTTCTGGAAGCTGGGAAGGTACGGGAAGGAGAGGTCAAGCTGCACTCCATCTCCTGTGTCAGAGGATTGCGTGAGGGTGACTCAAGGGAGCCTGTATCCGGGCACATGCCCCATACGAGGAGGGCCCCAAGGGCCAGTCACTTTTAGCCAGAGAAGCAGTGACGATTAGTGCAGGAGTACAGATCGTGCTTGGGTATGGAATGGAATTCGCCACCCCTTTAATCCTAACCCCTATTAATTCTCTGAGCTGGGGGGTGGGGAGGGGAAGAGACTGACTTTTAAACTGAACTGGACTTCAATAAGCAAAAGAGAAGAAAAAGCAATGGCCTTTACCAGTATCAAAATGTCACTAGTGGCAAGAAAGAATTTGAAGCAAAACGAAACAAAATCTTTCCCTGTTTGTGTCCCGCCAAATTCAGACTATTCATTAAAGCATTTTATTTAGACCTGGATGGAATGGGGAAAAGCAGTGTCAGAAAAAGAAGAGCTGGGGAAAGGGAGGTCTGGAGGAAGATGTTACGGGGAAAGAGGGAGAAGGTGCAGAAGGAAAAGGGGAAGAGGAAAGAAAGGAAGGAGAAACACACGGAAGGAGGGAGGTACATACAACGAGAGAAAACCACGTGGGACACAATGAGAAGAGGGAGAGGTGAAGAAAGACGAGAGATAGAAAGAGGCACAGATTTTCTAGGGTAAGTCAGAGACCACAGCCTATAGTTCCCCAGTGGTCTCCAGTGTAAGGTGTCAATATCCTTGGAAATTCTGAATAGCCACTGTTCACGGTTTTATATACGCTCTTTACTCATCACCTCAGAAGCTCTCATCCGAATCAAGTGGTGATAGGAGCTGCATGGAGAAGCTAACAAAAGCAAAAATCATCCTCTGGACACGACGAAATCAAACTTAGGTCAGGTTTGGGGCCTCTACGATATCACCTCAAAGATCTACAAATTCCCAGAATGGCGCACGTTGTGAGATAATGCCGCGCCGTGGTCCTGCTGAAACACCTTACTTGGCCAGCAGGCTCATGAGGTAGGTTGAGGTGTTGGTGTCCAGTCTCAGGGGAGGCACCGTGACGTAGGCGGCTGCATGGGACCAGTCCTGGTGGTAGTAGTGTAAGCCCGTCAGTGTGGCGTGCGCGGTGGTGGTCTCGGCCAGCACGACCTTCCCTGAAAGAAGAGGGTTCAAACCATCACCAGGAGGCCAGTGAACCTGGGAGATCGTTGGTCTGAGCCTCTCACGAGGCAGGTGAAGGAGCTGAAGTCAGAGAGGAAGGGACTTGCCCGAGCTCAGCTGGGCATTTGAGGGCACAGCTGGGGTCAAGGTCAGACTGTTCTCTGTCCCCATGCTGACTGCTGGCAAGAACAGAAGGGCGAGGGCGCCGAGGCGGGGCAGCACTCGTCTGTTTCCTGAGCAGGCGGCTGCCGGGAGCAGCTTCAGGAGAAAACTGGGGGTGGCACCGTAGCAGGGGATAGAGGACAGGGAGACTGGAAAAAGAGCGCAGGAGAGACGGCGAAGGGGGTCCCGCTGAAGAAGCAAGAGGCAGGATTTGGAGGGCAATGTGGTGGGAAGGCTGAAGGCCCTTGCTCCCAATTTATATCCTCAGGTTTGTGACCGTGACCTGTTTCTCCTGTTACTGGGCCCTCACTGGCACCCTGAGCCGGACTGGGAGTACAAGCACGTACAAAGCCTTCAGGTGCTGCCAGGTGCTCCGACACACAGGTGCCCTGGGGCTGGTACACTGGGTTCCTGAAAGGGACACTGGGCCCTCACAGTGTCGTTTCTCCAGGGACTTCCCAGGCATTTCCCCCCTGAAATGCCCGTTGGAACTGGTCCAGGATTTCATGTTGGTTACCAACGCAACCACTAGCAAAACCCAAGAGACTGAAAAAAATACCAGTTAATGAGTTGATTGAAAACTTGGAAAATTTTACCAGACCCAGGAGAGGTGACGGACACTTCTGTAAAGCTGTTATGCAAACAAATGTGCAGAGGGAAACACTGGTGCTAATGCCCTGAACCCAGGCCAGTGCAGGGTGCTTGTGAGGAAGACAGCCAGAGAGGAAAGGGAAAGGCAGGCTCAGGGCCTGGCCCCAGGAGCCGGGCTGGAAAGTGCGTGGAGCTGCTGGGCCCCACCACACATGGGCGCTGCTCAGCCCAGCCTACGGACTCACCTTGCATCTTAGCAGCTGCAATAACGTCACCGGCCGAGATGCTGGACACGTTGACCAGGTAGATGGGACAGTGAGTCTAAGGACGGGAAACACGGTGGGAAGGAGAGAGCGTCAACCCCATAACCTAACAAGGACCAAGGTGACCGGACCAGCCCAGTCCTGGCCCCAGCGCCGCCCCCTGCATCACTTAGCACTCCCCTCAGGGTGGCGGTCTTCTGCTGGGAATGCTGGGCTGGTGGCTGCAGGCTGGGGAACCCCACGAAACAAGGAGGGGACAGGCAGCGCCCAGCACCAGAGCCCAGCAGGGGGACATCAGGGCAAGATGCCAAGTGCTGAACCTCACATTTTCTACCAGCCAACACCTAGACTATTTACAACTTGAAATGAGGGACTCTTCCTTTCCTATTCATGAACGTGATGACCTAGAGAGAGTTGTGTATTATATCCCATATCTAAAATGATGATGTCTGCCATCTGAGGGCTGCTTTATCAGTAGACAGAATGTACCCTGGAGAAGAAACAATACACAAGAGGTTCAGGGCTCACAGTCTACACCAGACAGGACCGGTCTTGCAAATGGACACCTGGATTATAACACTGATTGGCTTCTCCTCTATCAAGCTGTGTGACCACGGTCCACGGCTTCACTTCTCTGGGCATGTGTTTGAACTAAGAAAACGAGGAGCTGCCCTTCTGTTATTCAGATCTTTCCTAATTCTGGGGTAAGTTTCCATCAGGAAGTAATTGATAGCGTAACTATTGTTACGACAGTAAAACAATGTCCTTGTCCAGCTCCTGGACTTGCAAAGGGCTAATGGGAAACTGTTTTCCCAAATGTTATTCTAATGCCTTCTTTGCCTGTCACATTAGGAGGATAGAGAATTTAGGGGCTGGCCTGGCATTTGATGTGCTTGGCACAAGTTTCCTGACTAATGCTGAGACCAACTGGACCTCCAACCTCTGTGTTCCCCTGGCGTTCCTAACACCACATCCTCAGCTCACAGCCTTCAGGGTAGCCTAGGTCTTTCTGGAGGAGAAGTTCTTAAGTGTTAGCGCCCATTAGGATCATTAGTGGGCTTGTTAAAACACAGGTTGCTGGGCGTCACCCCCAGTTTCTGATTCAGTGGGTCTGAACAGGCCTGAGCATTTGCATTTCTGAGTTCCTATTTCTAACAAATGATGTTGATGCAGCTGGTCCAGAGACCACACTTGGAAAACTAGAGTTCAGATTATCTGAGCAAATAGAACACTTAATGATGGTTTAGGAGGAGAAAGGATCTTGGTACAGTGTTCTCCTGTTTTTAAAGTGCTTTTCCTTCCACGACTCCTTTGATCCTCACAACCGTCCTGTGAAGAGTGGGTGATATTATCATTCCAATTTTAGATAATAAAATAGTCTCTCGGAGTGGTTGATTGACTTGCGTGGGACTGGAAGCTTGTCTTTGGTCAAGGCCCCAAGGTGTGTGCTCATTCCCACCACCACACTGCATCAGCGCCCCCTTACCCTGAACCATACCAAGGAAAAATCATGAATGGCCCAGAGGCGGAGGTTCGAATCATGATTCTCTAAGCAAACGTCTCTCTGCTCCTCTACAAGGAACAGATTCCAGCTGCCATGAGGCTCTGTGGTCCCCACCTTGCCCTGCCTCTGCTGGGAGGCATTTCCATTTGAGCAATGAACCAGGTCTCAGCAAGATCAGCAGGGTAGAATGGAGAGCCGGTGGCAGGGAGGACTCCTGCCAGGTCTGTGGGAATAGCAACGGTGTTGTTCATTCAGCAAACGGTGTTCATTGGCGGTCCTGGGAGCCAGGCATGGGGCTGGCACCCAGAGCAGGATGGGACTCTACTGTACAGGCTGGGTTCTGACCCCAGAGTTGAGAATGCGCTGAGGGTGAGCTGGGGTCTACTTACTCTGTTTGCAATGGTGATAACTCGGTGAGTGGCTTCTGCCTCCACCTGTTAGAAACAGAGGACAGGAAGAAAACAAGCTTCACCATCTCCCTAAGCAAGCTTACATCTCCCTGACACCCCACCTCGTACGCAGAAAGTGCTGGAATGTCTGACTCAGAGCTGGAGGGACAAACAGCACCCACAGGGGCTGGCTCGGGGGGAAACCCTGGGCAGGGGCACCAAGCTCCAACCACCTCTGCTCACACTGAGAGAACCCCGGGACTTAGGGCTCTAGGCACGTCTTTGCTGGATGCTACTCAGGGCTTAATTAAAAGACGACAAAACAAGAACAAACGAAAACCTGCAGTCACATCTCTCCCTGGTTTCTGGTGCATTCTCTCCACAGCCATCTCAGAACTGTAGCAAAGGAATAACACTGATTGATTTCAAGCTGAAGATTGGCCTGGATCGGGATTTCTGAACCTCGGCACTAGCGGCATTTGGGGTGAGATAATCCTTTGTGGAAGGGGCTGAACAGACACTGCAGGCTCTTTGGCAGCACCCTTCACCTCGACCTAGTAGATGCCAGTAACATCCTCCCCCAGGTTGGGATAACCCAAAATATCTCTGGACATTGCCAAATGTCCCTGGGGAGCAAAACCTCCTTAGATGTCCCCTTTAATCAGTAGATGGTGAAGGTGGTATTCTTGCTATTACTGCCACTACGGTCAGCACCGCTCTCTTCCCCTCATAGAACTCCACAAAGCCCAGTCCTGTGCGCATCCCCCCACCCCTCTTCTCCCAGGCACTCTGAGTGCCTTGTTGAAGCTGGTGTGTCTTTCTCTATCAACTCTGAGGTGCCCAAACGGGAGCTATATTCAAGCGCTCTCGCAGACAGAGACAAACCCACGGCAGGAGTAAGGTGGGACCCCCGCCCACACCAGGCTGACCCACTGTAGGCTGACTTGGTTCCTGTCTGATGACAGAACCATCACATCCTGTCTCCAGCTCCTCGTCCCCCAAGGCCTCCCCATCAGTCCCTCATGGACATCCAACCACCACTCTGCATTTAAGGCTTTGAAGAAATGGAAAATAGCTCTCCCCTCACCACTAGTAAGGCATGTCCGAACAGGGTCATAGGGCAAGAACACATTATTTATCTAATGTGATCCTCCAAAGCCGAATTCTTCAGCAAGGGGGACCTGGGGGCATTTGTGTCGACACCCTGCAAAACTGTGCAAGGATAAAACCAGAGGGCAGAGGGAGAGCAGGGCTTAGTCACCATCTCAGCAACGAATAGGAAAAGGGGGTAAGAGCACAGACATGCATGAGCCTCTCGTTTCTGGTGGGAAGGGTCCAAAGTTTTCCACAGATGCTCAAAGGGATCTCAGCCCCAAAATGGCAACTCACTGGCTTATAGTTTGGAATTTCTTCTAACATCTAAAGGCCCTTTCAGTCTGTCTTTTCTCTCCCGATTCAATTTTGGCCAAAGCAACCCCTGGCATGTTCACATGGCCTCCCTCAGACCCTTGAAATCAGCCCCCAGTGAGGTGGGTCTGTTTCCCCAAAGTTGTCTTCCCCAAGGAAGCTGAAGGGCAGGTCGGCCGTAGCATGGAGGAAGTTGTTCCCTGGGAAGCTTCCAGATGGGAATTTCACCCATGAAGAAAGCAATACCATGCAACTCGTATTTACCGATGACTCTTCTATCCTAAAAGTTGTGTGAATCTATAGGAAAGATGATGACAAAGAACACGGATATCTTCCTCACCTCCTCTGGACGGCTGATCTCAATTCCTTCTGGGCCTGTGATACCCAAATCCAGCGCCTCCTTTGCACCCTGAATAAGAGCAAAAGAAGGAAAATTGAGAGAATCAGAGAGATACAGAAAAACACTGAACCCAAGGGACAGTAAAATATTTTCAGCACAGCCCATTCCAATAGGTTTGCTGCTTTTCTCACTTCTGTAATACCCATCTTAGAACGAGGGCAGGATTAGGACAGGGACCCCCTGAGTCTCACTTCATAATGATTGAAAATATCTTTTCCTCTTAAAAATACAGTTCAGTCACCAGCCAACAGGCCTGGGACACTAAAGACAAACACTGTTTATTGATCTGCAAATCAGAACTTCCTCACTGGAAATCTAGTTAAACTTCCAGCTTCCACAGATGCCTAGATTAACCTTTACCCCAAGTATCCTACTTAAGACCCAGTAGTACAAAGGGGCTTGTCTGTCTTGGTACCAGTGAGAAGATCTCTATAATACCTCAGGTCCGCTGAGGAGGTACAGGAAGGTGGAATGTTGACCCTTATTTATTCTGTACGTCACATCTCATTAAAAATATTTCTTAGAGGTGCTCCAAATTCCTCTGTGATAATGGAATTTAAGTATCATATTTGAATGAAGACATCGTCATCCAAGACTTAGAAACCCTTTTGGACTAGACAGAGAGATTTGGTTTTTACAGACACTAGAAAAGTTTGGATTTTCGGACAGAGATCTGTCATCTGGGCTGTTAACATCTCACACTTTCTTTTATTATTTGTTTTATCTGAACCCTGTAGGGAGGGTCATGGGTGGTCAGGAGTCCCCCAGAGAACTGTCTCTATCGGTGCTCCCCCAACTTCCCCCAACATTCTCTACTGCCTTGCCTCGGCCACGAGCTCCCCATTTTCAGCATGGACCCGGGCGATCGCCCCAATATCCTTGCAAGCGTGCAACACTTGGTACAGTTCGCTGTCCCGAAGCATATACAAGTCCTTGTAGGTCATGAACATCTGGAACGAGTTGACACCCTTCTCCCTCACCAGGGTCTCCATTTCTGCTTTCACCTGGAGAGCAGAATGCAAAGGCAATGCCACGTGAGTACAGAGGGCCAAGAGGCTGACTGGCAGACGCTGGCCCAGCGCGGAGGAGAGGTGGCTCTGTCGCCACATGACCACCCGCAACCTTGCAGTATCTCACTCTCCTCTCACTCCACAGGCTGCTGTGAGGTCACGTGAGCAAATGGATGCGGAAGTGTTTTGAAAACTGTCCAGCGTGACACAAATATAGAAACGAGATCTGGGCATGTTTCTCCTATCACATAAGCTTGTCCTGTGTTTCTGCCTCCAAATCAGCCTTATTGGTAAATGCACTAATGACTTTTACACCTGTGGCCAGTTCCCTCCGCCCCCATAACAGAAGGGGTGTACAGAGAAGGCGTACTAATGCTAAAAATCCAGAGACCTGGGGAAAATCTAACTTAGGGACAAAGCCAAACATGAAGCAAAGCTATGTGAATAAGGAGGTTCATCCCAACATTATTTATACTAGGAAAAAATGGAAGAAACATCGGTCCAACAATAGGAAAATAAATTGTGATTCGTCTACTTGACAGAACATTAAGTGGCCACGGCATTGATGGTCATGAAGACCAGGCAGCCAGGTGGAAAATGCTCACACTTAATAGAAAGAGTTACTATGAAAAAAGACCAGAAGGAAATAAGCTAAAATAACAATAGTGATTGTGTTGGGGTGACTGAATCATGTGCTTCCTTTCTTTTCTATTTTTAAAATCTGTAATTAGAAAAAAAAATTGGTTATTATAAAAAAGAATTAAAAATTCTAGATGCATGAAAATCCCCACAACCTTTGGGGACTTAGGGATAGCTGACTTGGCCTCAGTGTTGCTGGGAATCTGAGCAGACCCTCTCTATTCCAGGCCACTGGAGGCTCAGGGTAGGGGTCGCCCATCCAGGAGGGTGTCCGAAGTGGACAACACTTCCATCTGAGATAAAGGATGGCTAACATTCAGTGTGGTCTGTACCTTTTAGCCGGTACCAGGAGGGAGATCTTCATGTGTGGGTTTGGGGGGTTCCATGGCCTTTCATAAGCACCGGTTTGGATATAATGGAAGAGACTGTAAGCCCCACGCTCAAGGCTTGTGCCTGAGGGCAGAAGTACAGCCAGGCTTGTAAGTCACTGTCTCGGAAGGGAGCCAGGCCCTTTAGATCAGGATCCACAGCTGGAGAACTTGGCAAAATCGCTTAATGCTTATTTATGGTTAAGATTCCGGGGCACCCACTCAAGTACTGAGTGGCACATGGTGATTAATGAGCACTTGATGAAAGAATGAATATCCAGGTCGCTTCCCTGGGGTAAGAAGCAGTAAAACTCCAGAAGTGAAGCAAAATCTAAATGCCTGTGTATCTGTATTCAGGAAGAACGAGGAAGAGGGAATCGGGGAGCAGGGACTGGACTCTGGCCCTGGGGCCTGGGCAACAGGAGGCCAGGAAAGCCAGGGGCACAGAGGCTGAGCTGAGAAAGGGCCCAGTGGGAGTCACACACCAGGAGCAAACTCAGGGTGCCCAGAGCAGGAGCTGGGGCCCAGCAGGAAAAAAGCACCCCAATCCGTTCTTACCAGGTGGCACTGAGCCAGGACGGGACCCTCCGTTCTGAGACCTCAGTGCTGTCACTCCAAGCACAAAATGATGTGACCCTCAGGGCTGATCCTTACTGAGCTTGCTACTCAGCTGCAACCCCTTAGGGGTTGCTACATAAGTGACACCTTAGGTAGAGCGTCAGGACATGCTGAGCGCCTTGTGGTCAGAGCGCTGGAAAACTGCTCTTTAAATTAAGCAAAACAGGCCTCCCCCCGTATAGAATCATAAGTGTTTTTTCTTTTGGCATTTGGAGGAGTTAGGATGGAGGTGGGAGGGGTGTTCTACACCGCAGGACAGCATCACCCCCCCAGCTGGCTCTCACCAGATGGCCCCTCTGCCAAAAAGAGCACTGGTTCTTCTTTTGGGGTTCCACCCAGTGCTGTTACCTTGGGTGCCCACCAGGGGATCCCCACATGGAGGGCGTAGTCACAGCAGACCTTGGGGTCAGCCAGACCCCGGCACTTCTCGTAGGCATCCACAAGGGAGGTCTCCTTGTCAGGCAGGACATGGCCGATGATCATGGTGGTACCTCCAACTAGTGCTGCCTGAGGGAGACGGGAAAAGCAATCTCGTCACATCCCTACCCGCACCCAAGTCGCTGACGTGGGGACACTGGGTCCTCAGGTGGACCTTCAGGACAGCCACAGACTCTCCCACACAAGAGGCTGGGAGGCCCAAGTGCAGCAATGTTTGGGAAAATGTAAGGAGCTGTCAACACAGGAGCCAGGGTGTAATCTTCATCATTACTGTGGACCCAGCACACAAACCTGCTTCTTCCTCATCTTGGGTTGCAGCTCAGCGCTTGGGAAAAACGACTTAGTGTGTTACCAGTGCCTATATTTCCAAATGAGAAGATTCCCCCCAGACAATTTCTGACCAACTTGAATATATAGATGATGTAATCAAATGTCTACCATAATGTAATATAAGTCTGTTTATAATATTATTTTAGTTACACATATATATGTAAACCATAGTAAAATGTTAATTTGACTATATTATTTTGTTTTATTCACTCACATTTCATGAAACAATTCTATTCAAAGTTTTTATAGGCATCTTCACATCAGGGTCTTTGTCTTCAGTTTTTCCAAGAACATTAACTTCATTTCCATCTGTCTTGTTTGAGATAGAGCATTTTAGGTCCCCGTACGATCTGTCAGTGAAAAAATGATCCTATCCACAATCTCCACGAGATACCACTTAAAAAGAAATCTTTAAAAGGTCTCATTTGCAATCACAAACAATGCTCCCAGGAATAATTACTAAATCTGTATTAAAGGTCTGCCCCCACGTACTTTTTTAAAAACCAGTTTGGTCAGGTGACCTCCATGAGCTTCCTAAACTAGCATTGCCCAAAGGCTATTCCAGGCTAACGGGTTGTTCTCCAAAAAAACTTTATTAAAATAAAAATTGAGACAGGCCCCATAATATGTGAAACTTTATGAGGGCTTTAATATAGGTGACTCTTTTTTCCTGAGGAATTAAAATTTGGACAAAACCTACGCTTTTATTTGGATCCCTACAGTGACTGGAATCAGCTCCAAGTTCAAGTCCCTGCTATGCCACCTCCCAGTTGGATAACCTCAGCCCAGTTACTTGACCTCTGTGATGCAAGAGGTCAAGTATGTTTTTTCTCTTTTTTTCTTTTTGCTTTTAAATTTTTTCATTTATTTATTTTTTAAATATTCTGTTACAGAGTCTTTACCTATACCATGGGACCAGCTTCCTTGCTGGAGAGCTGTGAAAGTCAAGAGAATCATCACTTTGTAAAGTTTTGTCCTAATATGTGTGTTTCATTATTCAGAGTTTAGTTGTTTATCTCTGTTTTCTGTATGGGAGGAAAACAGCACAATGAAACTGTCTTGATGATTTCATGCTTCTCTATTCGGTTAAATCATTGATGACGAATCAGAAATATTGCTGGAGAATAAGGGACTGAAAAAAAAATTAACTCAGCGGCCAAGCAACAATTACAATGAAAGCTCTTGCAACACTGATTTTCCACGCTGACCCTGGCTGGGCGGGTGAGACTAGTGCCCTTGTTGTCCTGGGAAACGCAGGGGCCTGACTTCTTGCATAGCTTAAAGCAACCAACAGAGGGTGCTAGTTCTGAGGCTCACACGCAGGAATTGCGATGTGGGAGATGGAGAGAAGGGGAAGAGCAGCAGATTGTAGCTTTACTAGCTGGCTTCTATTTCTGATTTTGCTGGATCGTGCCAGAATGATTCACCCTCGTAGCAGGTGGTTGTACTCTATTTTGTCCTGAAATGCATTTCTTGCTTTTATGTGTGGACACGGGGGTGTCTGGTATATTGGGATGTTACACACTAAATTGTCTTACTTCCGTGGTTCTAGATTGTTTTCCTTTGCACTCCCTCATCTGTCTGTAGACTTGCATAGAAGAAAAAGGGAATATGGAGACAGCACGGTGGAATAAGAGAGCCAAGACCGTTCTTAGCATCTGTGGGCTTCTGAGAGTAGAAAAGGAGGTCTACCTGCTGAATCCCTAGTTAAAAGTTACAGGTCACGCTAACAAACTGTTCCACAGAGGATACTCTGTTCCCCTACTCTAACAGATATATGTTCATAATGACTCAGAAGGCCAGGCTTGAGTTCAGAATTCTCAGAATGCTTGCAGTTCTGAGCTACACTCTAGGGGATGTTGGCCTTCAGCCTCTGCGTCTGCCTCTAGCCCATACTCTCCAACTCCGGTTATGTGTCCTGCAGCCCCTGGATCTAAGCTCTGCTCACTCCTGCAAGATGCCACCCTGGGGCTAGGCGTGCACAGAGTGGTGGTCTGGCCCCCAGAAGGACAGATTCAGGCTAATGTAGGCCCTGGCAGTGCTCAGGCCCTTTGTCAGGGGATTCCAGGGCCCCAGAGTGTGGTCCAGGATTGGGACAGTGGGCTCTGGGCAGACGTGGGGGAGTTGCCTGTAGTCCAGAGCCCATGGCAGAGACTCCTCTTGCCTGGGTCCAAGGATAATAACTGAGAAGTTCTGGACGGAGTCAGAAGCATCCGGCAGACGTCCTGACTTTCCCAATTGCTGATTGTAATCCTGTGTGCCTGCTCTGCTCTGCACCTCACCGCTGGGGGCCCACAGCAGCTCAGGTGGCAGTGGTTGTGAGAACCTCCATAAGCTGGGAAGGGGCATACAAATATCTGGAAAAATCATTACTGTTGTTACCCCAGGCCTCAAAGCAAAAGTTTAATGGGATCAGTAAACACTTTCCCAGCTGCGGGTTCGGGATCCCAGACCAGACGCCGGATGCACTAGTGCTGCTTTCCTCCCAGGCGAGATGCACACAGAGCTGGCTTCTAAAATATGCACAGTTCCCACCCACGGGATGAATGCTGACAAGCTCAGTCCTCGCAGGAATGTGATATCACAGATGTGACAGACCTTTTTACTGTCATTCCACACAAAACAGCCTTGTACAAATCAACAGCAGAGCGTGATGCAATCCTGTTCCGGAGGCTTTCAAAAGGATTATATTTACCATAATCAAAAGGAAAGGTGACTGTGTGGCTGCTGGCTGTTCGTAACTGTCTTTATGCAAGAAAAGTGAAGCTGTGAAAGATCTTAAGAATCCATAGAAATGATGTTCATGGAAGCTAAGTCTTCACACGGAACAAGGGTGATGCTATAACGAGTGAAAAAGACAGAATTCAATAAGTGTACCCAAGATACTTAGAAGTACGTTTAAACACACACACACCCACACAAAGAGAAAAAAAAATAGAAGGAAATATACCAAAACATTAACAATGACAGTTTGTGGATGATGGGATTCTGAGTAATTTATTTTTTCTAATTTTCTGAACTTTATTTCATAGAATATATTACTTTCATAATACTGTATACATAAAAAAATTAATTCGGAGGAAACTAAAACTACTTAAAATTTAGTTAACCATGTTTATGTATTTAAAATACTTTCTTTTAAAGTTATGTATGAAACATTTCAACCATACAGTAAAAGTACAGAACATAATACAACACATACCCATGAACCCACTACTCAAATTGAACAGATGTTAGCTTTTTACTGTATTTACCTTACATGCTTTTTAATTTAAAAAATGAAAGAAAATGTTTCCAATACAACTGGAGCCCTCCATCCTATTCCCATCCCTTAACCCTGAGGTTGATATAAATTTCTCCCATCCATGTTTTTATGCTTTTACTATACTTGTTTTGCAAATCTGAAAAATGTACACAAGTGGTATTATACTGTCCATGTCCTTTTGCAACTTGCTTTTTTTATTTGACAGAATTAAGATTCATTTATGGAGACAGACACGACCATGGAACAGCTAACACACTACTGGAAAAGGAGCCTACTGGAGCCTGGTGGCTGACTGAAGTGGCCATTTATCAACCCAGGCCCTTATTTTTTGACATAAACTTCTGTCCAGCCAAGCATTCCCCACTGTGTATGTGGCATTCATTTCTATTGTGAATGTGAGACTTCACATCTCTCACTGTTAAGTTAATATGGACTTTAGGACCATTTGTTTAACCAACAGACGCAGCAGCATCATACACATTTGGCAGGATATGAAACATAATTTTACTATTTCAAAGGGTTACCATTATTTTGTTTTTGATATTTATGACATACCGCTGGGTAAATCTGGGTTTATTTGATGCCCAGTCGTGTCACATCCACTTGTTCCCTAAGAAAAACCAGTATTCTTTTTTTTTTAACATCTTTATTGGCGTATAATTGCTTTACAATGGTATGTTAGTTTCTGCTGTATAATAAAGTGAATCAGCTATATGTATACATATATCCTCATATCCCTTCCCTCTTGCGTCTCCCTCCCACCCTATCTCACCCCTCTAGGGGGACACAAAGCACCGAGCTGATCTCCCTATGCTATGCAGATGCTTCCCACTAGCCATCTATTTTACATTTAAAACCAATATTCTTAATGGTAATCCATTTTATGTCACAGTTTCCAGGCATACGCTTGGCAGGAACTTGTACTGAACTCAACCTAAACCTGTTATTATAAATGTCATCTTTATGCTTCAGAAGTTATCAGACCACTGTGGGCACATGGGGGTCTCCGTATTGACCAGGGACCTGCTCAGCAAGTTGGAAAGAAATTTCAGATATAATTTATTTGCCCACATCACAGCGTTGGAAAGAACAGTGCATTGGCCCTTCCTGGTTTTGTCAGGACAAAGATCTTTGGAGAGTCATTCTTCACCATCTTCTACGTTGCTGCGGCTCTAATCACGTTTTGCTGAGTTCCCAGTAGCTATGTTTTTTTCTCTACCCCTCCACCCTGCTCCCCAAAGGGAAAGGCTTGGTTCTCTGGCTCCAAGGCCAAGAACCAATAGGTCAAGGCACAAACTTTGTACCCTGTTGCTGAGAAGGCACTTGGGCCAGAGCTTATCTGTGGGGTTTTTCATTAGGGGTGGCGTAGGGACTTCCTGTGAACATATTTTCACACTAGTGCTCAGAAAATGGGTGTGTTTGGGGGGAGGTGATTGGAATCATAATAGCAGGGTCTGGAGTATCTAGATGTATA